GGATCCAGATAATCCGATTCAGGTTACACGTGTACCACCGGGATACAAGGGGAAGGAAGCATAGATACATATATTCACAGTGCACACACATATATATAGTCACAGTGTACACACACATATATATATTCACAGTGCACACACATATATTCACAGTGCATACACATATATTCACAGTGTGCACACATATATATTCACAGTGTACACACATATATTCACAGTGCACACATATATATATTCACAGTGTACACACACACACTTCCATCACGGGCTGGAAGGGACGGTCTCCATACCCCTCTGTGGTGCTTCACAGGTGAATTCATTCTCCCTCCTGAGGGGCTCTGGGGCTGTACAGCAAAGACTCTACTCTGAGTGGAGGCTGTTGGCCTTGCTGCCATGCCCAGCTCTCTTCAGACACTGGACACCCCGATGGACAGGACACTCTCAGCCTCACTCATGGGGCTCCGGACAGGGTCCTGGACACAAGCTGATTTCCTCAATTGTTCTGTGGTGGAGTCTGGAACTGAACATGAGGCAGTCCTGCAATGGAGCCCCTGCACAGGTGAGGCCCACCCCCCTTCCCCAAGTGGAGCCCTCCATGAGCAGCCTGGACGGAGCCCCAACAAACACAGGGACCAGGGACGACCAATCCTGCATGGTACCCACAGGGTTCCTCAGAGAGGGGTCAGCTTAGTGAGCAGGCCAACCAGGAACAACGGGAACTCGAGCACCTGTGACCAACACTGATCGTCTGTGAGCACTGCACAGAATTCTGTTTGTGAAAATGGGAATGAGATGAAAACATATTGACAGCACAGATTCCTGAGGGAGGCTGTGCAGACCTGAGTCCATCCACCATGGTTTCCCTGGGTTCCGAGTTCAGTGAGGTCACACAGCCCCACACATCAGAGGGCCGCCTCCCTCCCATTCCCCCTCACCCCAGGTCACATCTTGAGCTAACAAGCACCTGCTTCATGAATATGCAAACAAGCAGCATCTGTGGTGGACAACATAGACAAGCTTCTTCCCAGAGCAGCCAGCTGTCGCCTCTCCTGTGACACCCAGAGCTCAGCGCCCACGATGCACCTGAACTGGAGCTTCTTCTGGGTAGCCTCAGCTACAGGTGAGCGCTGCCCAGGACCAGCCCCAAGGGTCCAGACCCTCAACAGAGAGGTCACAGCTCCCTCTCCTCTGCAGGTGTCCACTCCTAGGTCCAGCTGGAGCAGCCTGGGACTAAAGTCAGGAGGCCTGGAGACTTGGCCAGGCTGGCCTGCAAGGCCTCTGGATACATCTTCACCAGCTATTATATGCACTGGGTGAGGCAGAAGGCAGGACAGGGTCTTGAATGGATTGGATGGATCGATCCTAGTGATGGTGAGACCAAATATGCTCAGAAGTTCCAGGGCAAGGTCTCCCTGACTGCAGACAGCCTCCATGGAGCTGAGTAGGCTGACAGCTGAGGACTCGGCCATGTACTAGTGTGCGAGGCACAGTGTGCACACCCACATCTGAGTGTGTCAGAAACCTGAGGCAAGGCAGCTGCCTCGGGCTGTGAGGAGAAGGCTGATTCCTTGAGCGCTGCTTAGAACACAGAGATGATTCTGAGCAGAGGGCTGCAGACCCAAGCCCATGCTGAGTGTGGGAAAGGTTCCACCCATCCCATTCTCAGAAAACACAGACAGCAAGGGGTTCCCAGTGAATAAAGCCAGGGCAAACACTCCCAGCTAATAGTCATGTGAACAGGTTTCCCAGTCAACTGATCCCCTGTCTACAGAGCTTTTAGCATAAAAGGATGCTGGAGTTTGTCAAAAGCTTTTTCTGCATCAAGATGATCATTTTTTGTTCTAAATATACATATGTATACAATGCTGTGTAGATATGCACACATGTATTTGTGTGTAGAACAAGTTTATTCCATGTGGGTTATATATGTGTGTATATATGTTACTCTAATATATACTCTATATATAACTTGACACATTTATATACATATACAAATCTAATTTGCTTTCATGTAGTTTCTGTCTATATGTACATGTTCATATGCAAATTTGCAATGCAGTTCCAAGCCAGCTTGGGAAGGAATCAACAAGAATCCCAGCTCAGACACTCACCCAAAGCCAGGGAGGAAGCTGCTGCTAAAGGGATAGAGCATCAGACATGAGCACCAAAGCTCAAGTACAGCACCCAGGCCCCGGGGACAACCCAGCACTGTCCACAGAGAAAGAAATGGACAACAAGTGCATTGTATGCATGAATTAGAGTAGAATCATGGAACCATTAATGGGGGAAAAGAGAACACGGGTAGATAAGAAAGGTAATGTGATAAAGGCAAACTAGGAATATATGAAGATATTGCTACAAACCTTGTTATGTGATCACTAATCACTAGTATACATTTATAACCAGAGTCCCAAGCATGGCTCAAGGGCAGACATACTGCCTGGTGAAAAGTAGCTCCTCTGTTCAATTAGTCCAGGAAAACAGGATGTATTCCCACAGGTTACTTTTCTTCTTTTTTGGGTCAACTTCATTCTGAGGACACAGAGCCTTTACCAGGAGCTCAGGTGAAGCTCAGGTTTGGAGTTCTGGTCTCTGAAAAGGAGACACTGCTTTCTCCCTGATTATCCCCCAGCACCTGTGACCGGCCTCTGCTCCCTGCATGTGCCGTCAGTCCCAACATGGAGGCGCTCGGGTCACACACAAGTGACACAGAGGAAGGAGGAAGTGGAGGTACCACACACCCTGGATTAAAGTGCTGCTGGTTAAACTGAAGGAAGTTCAGTGTGCTTGTCAGGATGCTGTCCTTACATAGACAGCAAAGATTCATTTGAAACTACAGTGGACACTCCTGGCCATCGGGAAATGGTGGATGTTCTCAAGAAGGAGATGACATCATCGGGTCTCCCTCCTGCTCTCACCTCCTCCACTCATGACTTGTGGAAAGCCATCCATGGGCCAGGGGGGCTTTGGGTCCTGGGTGGTGGTGGTTCTGGGCTCACTGGGACCCAACATCCCAGTTAATAGATCTGACATCAGCCAGGACAGAGAGAACTCATGAGAACACCGTGATCTTCCACCCACCACAGAGGCCATTTGCACTTCTGCTGGGATGGGATCTGTGCCTGGTCTAAGGAGTCAGGATGTCCATGGGTAGATTAGCCCAGCAGGTGATAAGGGTAAGGCCATATGCAAATCTCCCAGGCCCACAGAGTAGAAAGGCCAGGCTTTTCTGACTCATACACACAGGTCTCACCCTCTAGTCTCCAGAGGCACTCGGTCCACATCCTCACAGCATGGAGTGGATGTGAAGGCTCCTCCTGCTGGTGGTGGCCCCAAATGAGGACCCCAGGCTAGGGCTGCTGAGAACACAGAGGAGCTTCTGGCCCTAACTCCAGTGTCTCCTCTGCAGGTACCTACTCCCAGGTCCAGCCTGTGCAATCTGGGCCTGAGCTGAAGAAGCCTGGAGGGGCCATGAAGATCTCCTGCAAGGCTTCTGGATACACCTTCACTAGCTATGCTATTAACTGGATGCGACAGTAGCCAAGAGGTGTCCTGTAGTGGATGGGGTGGATCAACACTTACACTGGAAATCCAACCTATGCTGAGGGCTACAAAGGATGATTTGTCTTCTCCCTGGAGACCTCTGTCAACACAGCACATCTGCAGATCAGCAGCCTGAAGGCCAAGGACACAGCTGTGTCCTACTGTGCAAGACACGATGAGAAAACCACATCCAAAAGCATCAGAAACTCAGAAGCTGCTCCTGCTCACCAGACAGCAGCACTAGCTGCACACAGCCTGTGATGGAGGTTGTGATTTAGAGCTGGGAAAGGTCAGAAAGGGAGCTTTGCTCATCTGCAGAATATTTTCACCAAGATGTTGACAGGTCCTACAATGGGAGAGAAATTGATTGCAGCAGGGACTAATTTGTGGAGTAAACATTGCTCCCCTAACAGCTCTCAGCATAGAGACACTGAAGAGTCTATAGTGAAATCCTCTCTTAGAAGCTGAGACCTCTGACTCCATCACTTATAGTCCAAGAAGAGGGCAGATCAGACCACTCACTATGAAGACAGTACTTCCTCATGTACAGATCACACAGATTAGACCACTCACTATGGAGACAGTACAGTGCTTCCTCCTGTACAGTAGAGATCACACGGATTAGACCAGTCATTATGGAAACAATACAGTGCTTCCTGATATACAGTAAAGATCACACAGATCAGACCACTCACTATGGAGACAGTATAGTGCTTACTTGAGTACAGTAGAGATCACACAGATTAGAACACTCACTATGGAGATAGAACAGTGCTTCCTCATGTACATTAGAGATCACACAGATTGGAACACTCACTATTGACATAGTATAGTACTTTCTCATGTACAATAGAGATCACACAGATTAGACGACTCTCTATGGACATAGTACAGTGCTTTCTCATATAGTAGAGATCACACAGATTAGACCACTCACTATGCAGATAGCACAGTGCTTCCTCAATACATTAAAAACAGATCTACCACATGAATCTTTTATATGACTTCTGGTTATAAAGACAAACCCTCTGATTGCCTCAATTCCTTTTTGCTCATTCTTTTCAAGGTGCTATTCATAGCAGCAGTATTCTCTCATCTGCCTATGTGCCAAGCAAGGGATAACAATTTAATGATGTTGTTAGAATATCTTTCTTGGTGAATATATTGCACTATCAGAAAACCAAAAGATATCTCCCAAAGCTTTGGATATGAGAAGTAATTTTCAGCAACACAGAAAATCAGCACTAAAAATCAGCTCATTCTCTTTTACTGGTACCATAGTGAGAAAGAAATCAGGAAAACAGCCATTCACAAGGTCCTCGGAAAATAAATAAAATGCCCAGCATAAATATACCCAAGGACAGAATGACAACTCTAATACGCTGACAAAAGGTATTGAAGGGGACACTCATATCAATCAAGGGAATGGAAGTACATTAAATTACAAGGATCGAGAGAACAGAAATGGACATATTACCAAAAGAGGTCTAAAGACTTGATCAACCTCCATCAAAAGTCCCATGGCCTTCTTCCCAGAAATGGAAAATGAAAGTGATGCTAAGTGTCAGGTGGAAGTACCAAAGACCTTGAGCAAAAGGTGTAGTGCTGGGGCTGAGAAGGTGGCTCAGTGGTAGAGCACTTGCCTTGCATGCATGAGGCCCTGGGTTCGATTCCTCAGCACCACATAAGCAGAAAAAATTAAAAAGCCAGAAGTGGCACTGTTGCTCAAGTGGTAGAGTGCTGGCATTGAGCTGAAGAGCTGAGGGACAGCGCCCAGGCCCAGAGTTCAGGCCCCACTACCGGACCCAAAAAAGGAGTAGTGCTGGAAGTGGACAAGACTTAATTCACATTTTGCCACTGAGGAGAGAATAGGAATCAATTTGTACAAACACTACTACAGAGCTATAATAACAAAGACAGCATGGTACTGGCACAAAAACAGACCTGAAGACCAATGGAACAGAATAGAAGATCCAGAAATAAACCCACAGGCCTACAGCCAGCTGATATTCAACAAAGGAGCCAAAGATATACAATGGAAGAAACACAGTCTCTTCAACCACTGGTGCTGAGAAAACTGGGCGGCCACATGCAGAAAACTAAAAGTGGACCCCAGCCTATCACCATGAACCAACATCAACTCAAAATGGATTAAAGACCTTAACATGAACCTGAATCTCTGAAACTACTGCAGGACAGAGTAGGAGAGACACTTGAACTAATAGGCACAGGAAGGAACTTCCTGAACAGAGTCCCAGGGTCA